TTATATGCTTCGTTTTTTTTGTTGGTTGATATGTCTGCACTCTTCATCGAACCAATCTTCGTTTTTTCTGGTCTTGATAGGTGTTTAATACAGTTTCTGCTTATTAAATGCAAAGAAAAACTTAGAAAATGCTCTTTAATGTTCAAAAAAATATAAAACGTAAGTACTTATTGTTAATAACTAACTATAAACTAAATATGAAATGAATACGAAAGTAGTCATTAGAATTGTTCCTGGGTATGGTAAATACCAAAGTAAGGATTGAGCAGGACCCACGTCACATTCTTGACACATGTACCTTGATTGGCGCCGTTTCTTTGCTGGAGTCTTTGTTGTGGAGCAAACAGTGCATCTACGAACTTTGTTGTTGGGGACAATATCAGGAAAATGTCTACCTACAAGACGAAAAACGTTTCGTATAGGCACTACAGTTGTATGTTTTGGTAAATGATACCTAAAAATAACATCATTGTAACAAGATAATTTCAAGATTAGATCCACATTCCTGTCTAGAAGCTGACGAATAAGATTCAAGTGAAACTGGGCCAATGTTGTTTTCTCTGGGTGTTGTGTAAGATATATTGCATGTCGCATTTAGAATAGAAAGGTCCAATATGTGAAAGAAGAGCTTTATACCATTTGACGGTTTTCCTGATGCTTTCTGAGGAACTTAGTAACATGTCAGTCCTGTCCACTGCTCCCATATTCATATTGTAATCTATTACACAAGCTGGTTTTTTAATGAATTCGTTTGTCTTTCTGTCTTTTTTAGTCAATTCTACCATTTTGTCTTGGTGCATGGTAGTAAGCATAGTGACCTCTCTTCGATCCTTCCATTTTAGTGCCAACATATTGCAACTCGACATTGAGGAAGTTGCACCTTTTTGTAGTTTTTCTGCTAAATTAGCATGTTGACCCAGGCATGTTCTGTTGACCCTGACTGTTCCACAAGAGTTAGTTTTATGGTCAAATAGGTAACTTGACAAACTAGGAGACAAAAAAAAGATTCGAAGTCGTAGACCCTCTATTGCCAATCAAAACCAACTCATTGAGGCCGTTATTGAAGAATGGGAGAATATTCCGCAAGCTTTTGTTGAACATTTGATATCAAGCATGCATCGACGCATAAATGCAGTCATAAGAAGTAGAGGGGGGCCTACACGGTATATAGTGTTGACCCAGATGCATTTTATTGTGTTACTTTACTGATATTTTTTCTTTTTGCAATTTGGAGTTATGCTAGCTTATTTACGCATTTCCGGCAAAAACAATTTTTTTAAAGCAACAATAAGGCAAATTAAGGCCATGATTAAAGTCATGTTGGACTTATTTGTAGGTGTTTATTATTATTTTAATGTAACTTGGTTTTATTTTGTGTTCATATTGTAAATATTTAGATTAATTAAAGTGGTGCGTTAATTTTGTCCAGGTGTTTATCTTGAAACTATAGATAAACACGAACAAAATGAGATTTTATAAGGTATTCGAAGGTGACGTAAACAACAATAACAATTTTATGTGTAGGTACCTTAGGCGGTTAAGAGACATTTTTTTTATATAACTTTTGTTATTATTTATGTCTATATTTAATGTTTATTGCTCCTACAAGTTTTGGCAATTTTTCAAAATTGTTTATAATAAATTGTCAACCAAATGTAATTTAGAAGGTCTCAAATGAATCGTTTTTTTCATAACCTTGTGTCTCAAAAACATAAATGAAAACTTCTAATTAGGAAAGGAGTATTGAAAAATATTTAAAATAATGATTTGTGGTGATTTTTGCTATAAAATCAATGTTTAAACAATGACCTCGTTATTGTAAACGGATATGTATCCGGGTTTCCTCATTATATTTTTGAGAATACAAAAAAAAGTTTCAAATAAAAGTTGTATTTTATCTGTACCGACCAACAATGTAGCAACAGACCAAATTTTGTATACAGGGAGTGCCCAATAAAATGCATCTTTAATATTTCAAATGGGACAACCCTGTATTTTTTTTATAGTTTTGAGTAAGCCCTGCATTTCACACGTGTTTACTACGGTGTCGAAGTTCGGTTATAAATTTTAGGTAAGTTATAAAATCACTATAGTTACTACACAATTACACTATACAATTACACTAAGTTACTCTACTTAAATAATATATACCAAATATTATTTCTTTATAAAGCAATCGAAAATTAATACTCTTTTAGAAACTGGTACTGACTTTGTGATTGTGATTGATATTATAGACAATTTGTTTTACATACTCGTTTAAACTATTTTTTCTTTGCAGATATGTACACCAGGAAAAGGGCACAGTGAACCGAAGAGGCCATTGAAGCTGCAATGAATGCCGTACGAAATGGCATGGCTGTTCATAAGGCAGCACTTACATTTAATATTCCTCGGCGTACGTTACGTAACCACCTAGCTAGTGGTAATTCACAAAAACGACTTGGGCGGCCTCCAGTACTTACAAAACCTCAGGAAGATGAATTGGTTAGGCGTATAGGAAGATTGTGTGACGTGGGTATGCCATTAACCCCCAAAATATTACGAAAAAACGTGTATGCTTTTGTCAAAGAGACAGGAATAAGGCATCCATTCTCGGTTAAAAAGGAGATAGCTGGAAAAAAATGGATGAAATTGTTTTTTTCTAGGCATCCTGACATTGCAAAGCGTCGGGCTCAAAAACTCAATTTGGCCAGAGCCCAAAAATTAAATCGTACAGTTATAAGTGACTATTTCGAGAAACTTCGACAGATTTTATATGAGAAAGGCTTCGCACGGAAACTTGCTCAAATTTAAACATGGACGAAAAAGGATGCCAGCTTGCACTGCATCACCAACAAACTGTATTGGCTAGTAAAGGTGCTAAAAGGGTGCATATCGTTGCACCAGAGCACGGCGAAAATATAACAATAGTGGCATGTGACAACGGCATAGGCAACAGCATTCCGCCACTTATCATTATGAAAAGGCAACGATTTAAACCAGAATGATATTGTAATCTTCCAGCAGAAACAAAAATTATAATGACAAGAAAGGAAGCATGACAGCAGATGTATTTATACAGTAGGTCGATCACTTCTTTCGATTCAAAAATCCTGGACCAGCCCTTTTAATTTTTGATGGAGCTTCATCTCATTTAGACATTAGAATTGTAGAAGCTGCAATAAAAAAAGATGTAACTCTGTTTTGTCTACCGTCCAACACCACCCATGAGCTTCAACCACTCGATAAACAGTCTTCAGGAGTTTTGAATCTTACTGGGATGAGGAGGTGTTAAATTTTTGGGTGAACCATAATAACGAACGTACCATTAACCGAGCAAGATTTGGGCAAATATTTACGCCGGTTTGGAAAAACGCAATGACGCAAAAAATATTTGTTCTGGATTTGAAGCAACTGGTACATAATCTCTTCCACGCCTTGACTGTTGTCTGACACAACGAGAGATTGAAACAATCGCCGAAGATTTTCAAGAAAATCCTACAACCCAACCAGAAATTGAAACAACTGGCAAAAAGAATACAAATTTCGAAGAACAGCTATCCTGCAGCGGTGTAAACAAAAATAATAAAAGCAAAGCATTCTCGAGCAGTGAGAAAAGGAAAATTACCAAAAAAAAAGAACTCACCAAAGTTTTTCAAACTTAATCTCAGATGAAGACAGTGACTCATCTGGGTCTTACACAAGTGGTACAGCTTCCAGCGAGGATTATAGTGATGCAGTTTACACGTCAAATAAATATGATAAAAATAAAGTTGCAAAAATAAGTGAGACAGAGCTATGTGAAGAACTAAATGCAAGTTTTAGTTCCAGTGGTTTGCTGATTACACCGGAGTTAAAAGTATCAACAAAAAAACGTCGGCAGGCCATTAATGCGAAAGCACAAGAAGTTACCAGAGATTCATTTAGTGCACAATCTCATAGCTCAGCAAAACCAAAACCGAATTTAAAAAAAGATTCATGGTACTATTTCTTGTGTGATGAAGATAGAGTGGCTGATATGCGCAAGTGTGTTTGTTGTAATAAGTATATCCACGAGGAATGTATAGGACTAACAAAAGACGACAAGGATATATTTGTATGTCCTCGATGTGTCTAATTGTGCGATGTATGTACTTAATGTACTGACAAATTTTTGTTTTTAATATGAATAAAAGTTTCTTTCCACTAAACTTTGCATTTATTCTTTTATTATTAGGTTTTTAATTTATTAGCCACGTAAATTTCATTCAAAAATACAACTGGCCTTATTAAGTTACCCGTTCCAAATAAGGCCTCAATTACTTAAGATTTATATTTCCAATAATATTTATCGTAAAATTCGATACCTAAAATGTTAGGCAATACGTATACAAGACTTTTCCCCCCATATTTTTGCTGAATAAAATATTACAGACATTTAAACCTTAACGTGGCCTTAATTAGCGTCCTTACCTTAGTATTGTATAGTAGTACCATACGCCATTATAGAACAAAAACTAATGCTACACTATGTTATATATTTGTAATTAGGAAATACAGGGCTACTCAAAACTATAAAAAAATACAGGGTGTCCCATTTGAAATATTAAAGATGCATTTTATTGGGCACTCCCTGTATACTAAATTTGGTCTATTGCTACACTGTTGGTCGGTACAGATAAAATAATACTACTTTTATTTAAAACTTTTTTTTGTATTCCCGAAATTAAGGAAAATAAGTGGGGGGTCAAAATATAATGATAAACCCTGTACATTTGAGAGATATCCATATTTTCATAATCAAAATAAAACCGAATGTTTTTGGTATGAAAGGAAAGTATACGGAAAGGATTCGTCCTGAAACGAATTAATTAACATTTTATTTTTTATTTATTATCTCAACGTCGTACATTCAAGAACGTTATACCATTATCACAGCATAAAATTGTTAACCCAGATTTTGCTAATTATAGTAATTTGGTCTAGTTCGATTTTGATCGGAACGAACCTTACAGTAAAATTCACTTATTTTTTTGCAGGTACCTTAAAATTAAGACACGTCCTGAGCCCGAAGACAATGAGGTGGTCATTAGCGGCGCATGACATTTGTTACACATGTGCGCAGCATGCCCACTTCTTCAGCCTTGGTAAATGTATACCTGTCGTCAGAGGAGCCGGGGTCTACCAAGATGCCGTCGATTTTTGTATAGAGCAGCTCGCTAAGGGTGGGTGGGTTCACATTTTTCCAGAAGGTGAGTATAACATATCAAAAGTAATATTAAAGGCCACTTTTTACAATATAATATTTTTTTTAATGTTTTAACGTAATATAAATAAATATAAATGTCCAATGTTATATTAAAAAAAAAATAATCTGTGAATGTACGTTAAGATAATTAAAAGCCGAATTGAAGATTGTTGGGAAGGGGAAGACGCTGCAGATCACAGTGGCTTTCGTAATGGTCGTTTGTATAGACAATTGTGTTATGTCTAAAATAAATAATAGAAAAGCCCTTGGAACAAAATATGGAGACACACATGGTATTTCTTCTTCTTCAAGTTCCACTCCTATCGGAGATTGGAAATCATTCTGACAATTATAATTTTGTTGGTAACGCGCCTGAATAGTTCAATTGAACTGCATCCAAACCATTCACGGAGATTGCGTAGCCACGAGATTTTACGTCTTCCTACGCTCCTTATACTTTTGATTTTACCCTGAATTATATTTCTTAGTAGTTCGTATTTTTCACCTCTCATGATGTGCCCAAGTATTCCAATTTTCTGATTTTTATGGAATTTAAAACTTCGCATTGTTTTCCCTAGTTGTTCGAGAACTTGTTCGTTTGTTTTGCGATCCATCCATGATATTTTCAAAATACGTCGGTAACACCATACTTTCGAATGCTTCTAGGTTTTTAATGTTGGATTTTTTAAGTGTCCAAGCTTCAACATCCATACAAAAGGGTAGAGAAAATATAACATCGAAGCATTCTTATTCGGAGCGATATATTGATATCTCGATTACAAAAAAGTTTTCTTATTCTATTAAAAGTTGACCGCACAATTTCAACGCGGCATTTTATTTCTTTTTTCCGATTAGTATCTTCTGTGATCCATTCTCCAAGGTATTTGTACGAAGATATTTATTCAGTTATTGTAGTATCTAGTACTAGCTTAACTTTGATGTTTTGTGCTTTTGTAAATACCATGAACTTGGTTTTCTTCAAAATTATTTTTAGTCCATAATCGTTGCAATACATATTTAGTTGTTCAGCAAGGTGTTGCAGTTCTTCTAGTGTTCCTGCCAGAAGGACGGTGTCGTCAGCATATAATTATTATGTTATTAAGTGGCTCACCGTTTATTATAAGGCCCTCACTGATCTCGGCAAGCGCTAATTCTGAGATGGCTTCACTGTATAAATTGAATAACAAAGGTGATAAAATACACCTTTGGCGGACCCCACTGCGAATCTGGATATCCCTCGGTCAGTTCGTTTTCAACTTTCACTTTTGCTGTTTGATTCCAATAGAGGTTACAGATTGATTCTAATGTCTCTACTTTTCTATGTTTTTATTTTAATAAAGTTTCTTTAAGCCGATTATGCTGCACTCTGTCAAATGCCTTCTCAAAATCAATGAAACAGGCATATACTTCCTGATTAATATCTAAGCATCTCTGCGAAAAAAACACTTACTGCAAACAGTGCATCTCGTGTTCCCAGTCCTTTCCTAATCCCATTTGTGTATTAAGTACTGATGGTTTCATCTAATTTCTTATGTATTCTATTGTGAATTACTTTTAAAAACAATTTCAAGACATGACTCATTAAGGCTATGGTGCGATGTTCATTGCACTCCTTTGCATTGGCTTTTTTGGGGAAGCAGTATGAATGTTGATTGGAACCATTCTTTAGGTATTATACCTGTTAAAATAAGATATAAATATAAATACAAAGATAATGGTGACCAGAGGACTTTGGCAAGACTGTTGCATTGCACCTACGCTTTTTGTGATTTATTTGAAGGGGGTGTTTTGGATATTTGAAAAAGTAATACTTGCAGAAAATCAACATGATATCCACTACATGTTGCGAAAAGTAGATGAATATACTGTAAGTAGGATTTATCAATTATTCCATCAAAAACGTCCTGTAGTGTAGTAGTGGGATATAAAGGAAAGCACTTGGATCAAAATTTGGGATATACAAAAGTATCATACAAAGTATTGCTACATATGGTTCAGAGTTTTGGATAATAAATAAAAAAGACTCATTCAAAATAACAAATGAAAATGAATTATTGATTAGATGTTCAAAAATCACTAGAAGAGATTGAATTCTTCTTCTTATAGTGTTGTGCACCTATAGTGCGTTGACGAGTTATCTTAAAGCCAGACGTCTATCTTTTGCGGCGTGCAAAAGATCGCAGTGTTATTTATGTCAGTCCAGTTCTTTATGTTTCGTAGCCACATTTGTTTGCGACCTAATCCTCTCTTGCCTTCGATCTTTCCCTGGATGATTAATTGAGGGATTGCGTATTTTTTTTTTCTCTCAGAATATGGCCGAGGTATCCAATTTTTTCGTACCTTTATCAAATCGAGTAGTTCTCTCTACTATCAGTATTTGCCTTTCTTAAGACTTTCTCGTTTCTCACCCTATCTGTCCATGGTATGCGGAACATTCTTCGCAACGTGCACATTTCGAAGACCTCTTTATTACTTATTAATGAAAGGTACTCTTAACGTCCATGTTTCCATGCCGTTATAACAATATGGACCATACATAGCATTTAACCATGCTGTATCGGAGATTGAAGGAAAGATTGCGGTTACATAGTAGGGATTTAAATTTGATAAAAGCTTGTCGTGCTTGTTCGGTACGGCATTTTATTTCTTGTTGAGGATCCCATTGGTCAATCATTATCATTCCCAAGCATTTAAATGTTTTCACTTGATCGATTGGAGCAGTTTGTATTCTTAAAAGTGCGTTTTTTTTATTGACGTGCATTTAGTTTTTACAGCATTTATCTTCAAGCCATATATTTTTCCTACGGTGTTTATTTTATTTAACATCAACTGCATATCATGTTCGTTGTCTGTTATTGTTGCGTAACGAATGTTATTTATGGGGAACCCGTTTACCTTTATTCCACACTCAGAGCTTTCCAGTGCCTCTGCAAAAATGTTCTCCACATAGAGATTGAAGAGCATAGGAGACAAAATACACCCTGTGTACCCTTCTTATAGAGGTAGAATGAGGAATACTGAAATCAGATAGCGTATGTTGCATAGACGTTGGCATGATGGAAACTATAGAAGGTAAATGCTGAATGGTATGGCCATGTCGAAACATAACTGATCAAAGATGGCCAAAGAGAATGGTACAGCGGATCCCCAATCACAGGAAACAGGGAAAACCAAGAAGATCGTGGAGACAAAAAATAAATGGTGCAATGGAAGATAGTAGGAATAAGATCCACAACACGAGATAAAAAACCCGAATACAAATGGCAAGACAAGCTTTTGTGAAATTCAGACCGCTCCTATGTAATCAACACCTAAACTTCGAAATACGCTACAGAATGGTCAAGTGCTACATATGGTCCATCTTGCTTTATGGCATGGAAACGTGGACTTTGAAAAAAACATCTATCAACAAACTTGAAGCATTTGAAATGTATTCATTGAGAAGAATGATGCGCATACCTTGGGTGGATAGAGTTCGAAAGGATGACGTCCTTAATAGAGCCGGCGTGGAAAGAGAATTTAATTAAAAAAAACGCAAGATTGGTTACCTTGGGCACATATTGAGAGGAGCAAAAATATGAAATACCACAGTTAATCCTACAAGGGAACATCGAAGGTAGGAGAGGAGCCGACCGCAAACAATTATCCTGGTTAAGGAATATTAAAGAATGGACAGGAATACACAATACAGGTGAGCTGTGTCACGCCGCCAAGAACAGAATTCTAGTAATGAGATAGTCGCCTACGCACTTTGGTGTATGGCATGTTAAGAAGAAGAAGGAAGATAGGGGTCTTTAAGCAGATGACTGGAACGATCGCAAGGTTGGAATCTAGTGTGCGAGAAATGGAGACAGCTGTAATAAAGTCAGGCATAATTTATTTTTGGGAATTCTTCTTCTTGATGTGCCTATCAGTTACGAATGTTGCCGATCATCATGGCAATCTAATCTTATCTGCAGCAGCGCGTAAAAAGCTGCACAGATGTTGTATTGAACCAGATTCTGAGGTTCTTTAATCAAGATGTTCTTCTTTTTCGTGGACCTTCGTTTTCAAAATATTTTTCCTTGCAGGATGTCTTGAAGGAGAGCTATCTGGATTCATTTCGCATATGTCCGAAAAATTGTAACTTTCGAGATTTGATGAAGGTCAGTACCTCTCGGTTCTTATTCATGCTTCTGAGTACCTCCTCATTTGTGACTTGGTTATAGAAGACGTAGCATCGCAGCATTCTTACTTCTGTATCGAGAGAAAGGTTGTGACTCTTGAAGAAGGCCCTCATTCGATTGAAGTTGGATCTAGCTTTTCCGATGCGTGCTCTAATCTGGTTGTTGGTCGATTCTTCATTTATTATGGTGTCCAGGTAGTTGTAGTGCGTCACTCTCTACAGGAGATTGGTTGACGTAGAGTTGACCTTCTGTTATCCTTTTGTTGCTAATTATCATAAGCTTTATCTTCTTAACGTTTATATTGAGTCCATATTGTTGACTTTAATACGCGATGTTGTTAGGCCTTCTAAGTTGTCCGCAAATACTATGGTGTCATCTACATATCTGATGTTGTTTAGCCGGTAACCATTTAGTAGAATACTTTTTTCAGTTTCGTGCAAAACTTTGATAAATATTCTTTCAGAGTACAGATTGAAGATTAGAGGAGACAAAATACGGCCTTGGCTCATTCCAGGCATGATTTTCACATAGTCAATGTGTTCACCTTCAACTCTGAGGTTTGCTGTCTGATTCCAGTAAAGATTTCTCATTAGATCTTGGTTTTTAATTCCTGCTTCTTTTAGTATTTGCATCATCAAATGCTTTCTCCAGACATGCGTATACGACGCAGTTGACGTTTATTCTAATAAGACGTACTGAGAACAAAGCCTCTCTAGTACCAACAGCATTTGTGAACCCGAACTGGTTGGGGAAATTTGACTTTCACACAGCTTGTAGATTCTCTTATGAATTTTCTTTAGGAACCATTTTAGGAGATGACTCATGAGGCTTATAGTAC